GGCGGGGGGATTCTTATGAGCCGCGGTTGAGCATGGGGCGGTGGCACAGTTTGTCCCTGGGCTGGTCCCCTCCGCTAGCCCAGCAGTCACTCCCCTCACAGTCCCAGTTCCCTCCTGGTCTGTGATGGGCTGCACTCCTAACCTGGAGTCCTAACCCCTGGTACCTCCAAAGCAACTGTACCTGGTGGCAGGGTCTTTAAAGAAGGGCTGGAAGTTACGGGAGGCCCCGGGCAGGCCCAGAGCCAATGGATGGGTGTCCTCCTGAGAATGGGGCCTCCTGAGGAGGGCTCACACAGCGAGGACAGAGGGTCCACACGGCCCATCTACACGGTGGTCTGGGACGGCCAGTCTCCGGGACACCCAGCCTCGCGACCCTGGGGTACTTGGCCACAGTGGCCTGACCTGGCCTAAGATGCCTCATCCCAGGGAACAAAAGGGGACGGATGGTGTGGGGGATGGCTCAGAGGGCTGGTCCTGAGTCGTTCTGGTGACTTCCCCAGACGCTCCCCCTGGGGCCTCTCCCACGACTCGACTTGTTCCTGGCTTCTGTGAGTGTGGTACCAGGTGGTGGCCTGCCCGCGGCCACTGGGAGCAGCTGGAAAGTTCCTCCCAACCCAATACCGAGCCAGGGCTCTTCCCAGGCTGCCTGGTCCCCTCTCACTTCAGAACGTGTGCTCCTGTGGTCCCTGTCCCTTCTCCCTGTTTTCAGTACCTCCTCCAGGAAGCCCTCCTTGGAGTCCAGCTCCCTCGTCCTTCACCGTGGGCTGTCAGTGTGCTTATTTTGCCTCCAGAGGGCCTGGACCTCAGCAAGTGTTCACTAAATTAGTCATTACTACACACTAGGAAGGTATCGACCCAGCAACTGTACTAATACCATACAGCTCACGTCAATCCCCAACTGCCGAGCCACCCACAGCTCAACCTTCCCTGCGCCCTGCGTCTCCTGGCTTTGCTCCCCCCACCACCCCGTCTAGCCTCCTGGTAGACCCTAGGAGTGGCGGTCAGCGGGAAACACGGGCCCTGCAAACTCCCAGCCGCCTAGGCCCGCCA